CCTTGAGGGCCAGAGTTGCCACCCCAGCTAGATCCAGACCCCCAAAGGCCCAGACCAGCACTAGACATCAAAAACCACAGATTCAGCCCAAAACCTAACCCCAAAGTCACAAACTGGTGTCAAGACCACAAGATCAAGACTCCCAATTGGTACAATCTGCAAGTCCCCAGTCACACAAAGAGATCAAGCCATCAAGGAAGTATAAACAAAGTACATGGTACAAGTAGACCAAACTATGGTGAAAATTAAGGACAGTGAGAGTAGAGCTGACCTGTAGTGAGAGTCCAGACGAATAGGAGAGATACGGCCTAGCTGGACCCTTTATGTGTCTCTGTAGACATTCATACACCTTCAGAGAAAATAAATAAATAAATAACAATGAACCCTGACCTATAACTAACTGTTAATACTATACGTTTATGTAGGATGGACTCTACCTTTAGTAGAGACTGCAACCAGGGGGCTTTGAGGAGACTGTGCAATAGTTCAGCTCCATTTATATCTTTATTGATAGAACCCCTCACCTCAGCAATCACAAGTGCTAAGATCTGTGTCAGGCCTGTAACATACAAAGCAAACACCTCTAGAACTTTAAGCTTATTGGGTATATGCCAGACAGTGATGCTGGATGGCTTCTTTAGCAGCTATAGTAACGTTAATATTAGCATGTTGCTAATCAGCTAGACAAAACTCAAATTTAATTTGGCAGCTTCCAAATTTAAGTAGTTACTTGTATTGAAGTTTCTTACCTTTGTCTCCCATCTCCAGTGGAGCCGACCCTTGATCAGTCTCCACGTTTGGTCTCATTGTCAATCCAAGAGGGTTTTTAAGTTCAGGGAATAACCGAACGATGCACTGATCCTCCTCATATACAGCTGCAAGAAAACCCTCATGAACTCAAGTACAACTGCTGATCAGTTATTGCCTGTTATTTCCAAGTGAATTGTAAATTCAGTAGAAGTTACAAAAGCTCCGTAACCTTAAGTACCATAGAACCATTGGCGCACCGAGGGTCTCTATGATCTATAAGCTTACAATGCTTTTGGGAAAAGCAGTATAGAATATTTTGTAGTTGTAAATACAATTCTTGTTTCCTGGCTTAGCTCACACATACTTCATAATGAGTTAGATATGGACTTAAAACCTTTTCAGAGAAATAATGGTGGTTGTTTTGGGTGGTGTGGATTAAAGATCAGGGCTGGTATCCAAAAGTTTGTAGGTTCAAACTCAACAAGGATCATCATTGTGCTCTTGTGCAAGGCAGTTAACCATAGTTTGGTCCATTTGGACTGTCCTTGTCATTAGTGTCCTATACTTTGGTTAAAAGTGTCAACAGTATGACACATTTGCGTTGGGGCTGATAACCCACAGCTCTTAGAATTCAAAAAGGAAATCCAGAAATCCAAGAATGGAGGGGGTCCATGAATGCCCTTGTCACGGTTTTGACCTTGAGCAAAGCACTTAAGTACAGGTTACTCCAAAGGACCTTTCCTGGTTATAAGTACACCCTTAGTGGTTTTGGATAAAAACACATCTGCTACATGAACAATAACCAAAGGATCACATGAAAGAGTGCAATATAAATATCTCAACAGGATTCTTTATGAACACTGTAGGTAAAGACACTGGATATTAGTTTGCAGATCTTTAGAACAAAACAGGTGCACATAATTTTCAGACTTTATAACTTAAAAAAAAAAAACTTTTAAAACATTCTTCTTTTTGAGAGTTACTGTCCTTTTAAAAATGTTTTTAACTCAGTGTTTCTGTATGTAAGTCAATTTGCACAGCCAAATCTGATTCTTGACTGAAGGATATGTAGAATGTACACATAACATTGCTGAATTCCAACTGGAGCATCCCAGGAATACACACAAGGAAGGGTTCAACGATTAGAGTGAATAAAAAGCCTACTACATTTGTCCCGCAGGGAGCTTCCTCATTGATAAGCCTGGAAGGCAAGAACCACAAACTCACATCCAGGCAGAGACTTAGTAGCAAATCCTGTTCACTTACCTCCCTCTTCCCTCACGTTCAGTTTGTCTTCTCAGTTTAGATCCCAGTTTATAATTTAACACACTGACGAGCTTCTGAAGAGGATATAGTTTGCATGATGAGGGTCAGTTTTAACTTGCTCAAATATGATGGTATAAACAGAGGAATAACGTGGATAGTATTCCATAACAGAGCACAGAAAAGTCCTCTTGGAAAAAAGAAGCGTAATCCCTCTCTATCCTGCTTAATCCCTCACAAGCAAATGAGTCAGCTGGGGAGAGAGAGAGAGAGAGAGTGTGTAGGAATGTGAGAGAGTAAATTAGGAAGGGAGGGATTGGACAGTCAGGGTGTGTCTAAGAGTGAATATGTCTGCTTTCATATTCTTTCAAACATCATTCTATCACAAAACTCTTAATTCATCATAACACACAATCAGTGCCACATTCTTATTAAGATTTAATCATTCCTCACCCACTGCATGAGATACGGAACACCTCTCTCTCTTTCTCTCTCTTCCGCTGACCCACTCACACATATTTACCAGCTGATGATCCCACACTGCATCACGTACACACACGTACATGTAATCCTGTTGATTAAAACAGTGGAGTGAATGACACACTCGGTCTTGTTTTTTGATTCTCATCACACTTTTTTTCACATTATACCTTTTAAAATAAAAAACTGTACATGACAGATCAGGGCTAGTTGTCACAAGGGGTTTATATCAGAAACGTTTTGAGCCAAAATTTCAGTTGCATAAACACTTGCTTTAGTAAGTGAAATAAAGGTAATTGGGGTCAAATGTTGTTTGTCAATCTTATTTTGTGCTCTGCAGAAGAACGAAACTTATACAGGTTTGGAACGACGTGAGGGTGAGTAAATGAATTTTGGCTGAACTTTCCCTTTAAGTGGCACTAAATCATTAATATGGCCTATTTCTTTCCCTTCCTTTTATTAATCGTTTCAATTGAAACAATCGGGACTTCAAACAGTTTAAAAAGTGAAGTCGTTTTAACACAACATGACCCAGAGCATTGTTATACTGTTCAGCAGATACATATCAACTCATCTCTGGGTAAAAGCAGACTTTTTAATATATTGAAGCGCCTCATGCTTAACAAATGTTGTATACAGGCATAAGCTGATTGGGGGAAACTGTATCCATTTTCATGATGTGTTACTTCATCTCGTCCCTCTCTCTACCACCCTATAAAATCAGTTTAAAATAAAAAGGATAAACAGAAGCTGATACTAACCCTTTAAGGCCAGTCTAAAGCAGTCGTTCCAAAGATGTGTCAACATTCCTCCATTCTGACAAGGCTGAAAACACAAGTATTCAAATACAACAAACCATTTAATCAGACATAGGATAACAAATAAATAAGCTTATCAACTTTCATAGAGAGTAGAAACACTTACCTAACCCAATGGTCAAGCATCCAATCAAATGATGTGCTAATTGGAAGCTATTTTGGAGATTATACAGAAACAAACATGACTTGAAAATTTGAATATTTTGCTGGCAAAAATAGTTTCAATTTAATTAAATTTTCCCCCTCAAAAACAAAGTTCAATGGATGTCGCTTCAGTTTTCAGTCGCTGATGAAGTTTTAACAGCTTAATGCTGCCACTTCAGTGTAAAAAAAATATTTTGGTTTATTAAGAACCAGCTATTTTTATGGTAACAGTTTATGATGGTCCACTTTAGACATTCTATCAACTTTAGACATTTGGTCCACTTTAGACATTGCAAAATTACTTATAGTAGTAGAATGTCTAAAAATGAGCCATCGAAATAAAGGGTAACTTTTTTTTTATTCAAACCCCCCCAAAACGTTTTGTAAACAGCTGTAATAAAAGGCCAAGTAGGAGAGTCAAAACAACCATTTTAATTCCCAATCATTGTTTTATTGCCATCTATCTGAATTATGTCAGTAAACAATTTGAACATACAATATTCTTCAAAAACGAAACTTTATACATACTTGCACACATACGCACATTCAAACACAGGTTAATATGCACACCTTGGTTCAGCCTAGAAAATCTGGTGTGTAAATAACTTCCTGTACGCAAAGTACAACATGAATCGTTATATTCATGCAACATCTCAAGTGTCAATGGTTGCAAACATCAACAGTCCTTCGCCCTAACAGTTTGCACGATTACGTTTAGTAACATACAATCACACTAGCATCCAAATCCTGATCTCTGATCCTCGGAAATGGGTTTTCTGGCCATTTATTCGAACTCACTGTCCTTCTGGTGCTCTGTACGTGATATACCCTGCAGATTATCTATGTCGCTCAGATTATCTGTGCTGCAGACAGATCTAACCATCAAATAAATAAAACAATGTCAATAAAAGGAAATAATGCATTAGGCTTTTGAGCTTTAAAAAGTGTGTCTCAACTCAAAGCTATTGCTGGGTAAAGAGATGTATTGACAGACACACATCCATAACACTGTCAGAGGCACTTTTAAGAACGCTTCATGAGAAAGAACTGATTTTAGCAGTGAATACTACAGTGCTTGGCTATCAAGGGACCTTTCTGCAGTAAAACGCAGAAAATAAATCTCACAACCAAATCAGTTTAGCATGCAAATTGTGGCTCGTTGCTTTTTTCCAGTGTGCCAGTGACATCCACTAAAAAACTTAAACACTGCCGACGGTTACTCAGAGATGCAGAAAAAGTTGAAACCATTTCAAGTGTTTTCTGAAATAAAGGCTTCAGAAAACTGACTACAAGATTACTTAACAGTGCATCAAAAAAAAAAAAACTGCTGGAAACGGTTGTGCAAGTGCATTTAGAAAGAACAAAAAATATTGTGTTGACCCACAAACACTTTCTATTTCTTAGTGTCAAACGTTTAAAATACCAAGTTCAATTTGGCTGAGACAAAGAAGCTGGTAAACAAAGACTTGTACATAATAACGCAGGTCACCATCCCTGCACAGTTGGTTAAGAAAGCTCAAAATGGATCAGACGTCAGCAATAAAAGTTTCTTTTCATAGACATTCAAGCACAAGCAGCACATAATTTTTCATTTATGTGAACAGATTCATGATTTAGGTCCATGGCAGTGTGCTGTTTGCCATGAATGATGTAATACGATCAGAAAAATGTAGTAGTTTACTTCAAAGATGGAGGTAGATTGCAACCATTATTTCAGATGGCTTACAGTACACTAATGAACTTCACACATCATTAATCGACAACTGACACTGGATCGACCAGTGTGTGCTTGAAGGGAGAGGTGACATGCTGTTAAACGTCATACATTCTGAGCCAATGAAGTACAGGCTCTTTAATAAAAGAACAATGAGTACATGTATATCTGTAGCATGATGGAATGGCAGCAGTTAAAACGCCACAATGATGGCTTTTTGAGCGAGGAAGACACAAAAATGTAACAAATAAATGTTAATAAATGCCAAACCAAAGTCTGACTTGCACATAAACGGGACTGTTTGAATGTGAGAATGTCAGATTCTAATGGAATCACCCTTCACCGGCCATGTGATCCAGGCTCGGAACGTGATTGGCTCCTCACACATCAAGTCTGTTTCTTGAACACTATTGGCTGGTCCGTTTGTCAGTCATTGCACTGCCTTACCAGATGGGTTTGGAGAGATCATTCCGTTCATTACGTGACCTTCTCGTGCTGGATTTGATAGTAGCATGCCTGTACAAAGCAAATCAGATAAATCATGTTTAAAAAATGTATTATTTAATCAATATTTAAAGACCACCGAGGCAGTTTATGATTAGTTGTCTGTTACTAAACAACTTTTACATTCTATAGGTGCGATGTTCAGCAAATTTTTACGGATGAAATCCAGTCATTTGAACGAGAATCCACGTGATTGGGAATGTCATGCGAGGGCAAAAGATTTCTATACGCAGATTTCTCAAAGGGTTCAGGTTGGTCATGTGGATTCACTATTGGAAATGTGTTTGGTTTGAAAATTACTTCATGCATCGCTACACTACTGACAATTGACAGTGGACCTTTTTTTTGCTCACAAAATTTTGCCAATCATTTATTGGTATAGAAAAAAAATGTGATGTTTGGCTGAAATTTTACAGATGTGACCACATGTTACCACTGCATGGTGTCACACTGTATAATCTTTCTGATTATATTTTTCTTAAAGGATTAGTTCACTTTTAAAAAAACTTTTGCTGATAATTTACTCACCCCCATGTCATCCAAGATGTCCATGTCTTTCTTTCTTCAGTTGAAAAGAAATTAAGGTTTTTGATGAAAACATTCCAGGATTTTTCTCCATATAATGCACTTTGCTGGGCACCAAACGGTTCAAGGTCCAAAAGACAGTTTCAGTGCAAACTGCAAACTGTTCAAAGATCTTTAAACGATTCCAGACGATGAATAATGGTCTTATCAAGCGAAACGATCGGTCATTTAAAAAAGAAATAACAAAGTTTAAGTTTTATAAGCTCAAATGCTCGCCTTGCTCTGTTCTGTGTGACTCTCCTGTTCGAACTCGTTCATCAAAATGAACGAATCTTTTTCCGAGTCAATTCGTTCGCTTGATAAGACCCTTATTCATCGTCTGGAATCGTTTAAAGCCCTTTGAACAGTTTGCAGTTTGCACTGAAACTGTCTTTCGGACCTTGGACAGTTTGGTGCCCAGTAAAGTGCATTATATGGAGAAAAATCCTGGAATGTTTTCATCAAAAACCTTAATTTCTTTTCGACTGAAGAAAGAAAGACATGGACATCTTGGATGACATGGGGGTGAGTAAATTATCAGCAAAAGTTTTTTTTAAAGTGAACTAATCATTTAACTCAATACAGTGTTAACACCCTGATAGAATTACAAGGGTGAAATGTTGCTTTAATTATATCAAAAGTTGAATATAGTGTAAAAACCCTTATTTACACTATACCTTGAGTGTGGTGAACATGATGCCATGCTCTCCATGTTGTACACATGGATCCATTAGGTCCTCAATGAGACTGACCTCTGACCCCAGATTCCTTATCCTGAAGAAAACAACAGCTGTCAACTACAACATGCCTTGTTTTTAAAAATGCGTTATTTTCTGTGCTAAAGCTTATGCTGATAAAAAAAGACTGTCTAAAAGGAACACATAATCAATCGTTTATAAAGATTTCTGAAGGATCATGTGACACTGAAGACTGGAGTAAATTCCGCTTTGCATCACAGGAAAAAAATACATTTTAAAATATATTAAAACAAAAAGCTGTTATTTTAAATTGTAACATTATTTCACAATACCTATTGTTTTTACTGTATTTTTTTACATATCAAATAAATGTAGACTTGGTGAGCATAAGAGAAAGTTTTACCATCCCCCAAATTTTGAAAAGTAGTGTACAATATACATATTCCCAAAAAAAGGGTGCATTAGAAACCCCGTGATATCATCCTTACCGTGCACGCAGAACAACGAAGAGGAAGACAGGAAACAGGTCATCCATAGACCACAAGAAATCCTGTTTCAGGAGTGTAAGTACTTGCTGGGTTATCTCCTCAAAGGTCAGCTGGATGACCTGAAGCTTATCTGAGGGGGTGAAAGTTGTGCTGTCGAAATAAAAAGAGAAAAAAACCTTGAAAACAACACACCAGAGAGAGAAAATACAAAAGTTATAAGACAAAAGAAAAATCTCCAACCTTATTTGCTGTAAAGTCTCAACCGCTGAGGCAAAACAGGCGTCTTTTGTGCTTGAGAGAACCTACACACCAACACCCAAAATATTTCCATGAATATTGCTTCATGTTCCAGGAGGTTATTATTTCAGGTATAATCAGCATATTGCCTTCAATGAGAGATTTATGAGACGTTTTAAAGTGCCCCTATTATGCTATTTTTAAAGGTTCCTAATGTTGTTTTGGAGGTCTCTTACAACAGGTTTACATGCATCCAATGTCAAAAACACTTTCGTGTACTCATACATCGCAGCATGACCTCTTTTCTCAGTGTCTGAAACGGTTCAATAAAAGATTCGGTCTCGGCTCCGGAGGCTTCCACAGCACTGATTCGAACAGTAACGATGGAATAATTTTTACCGTATCAATTCAAGCCCGGGTCGTCATCATTAGGAAGTGCACACAAAGTGTTAAATTTACAACAAAATATTTGAGTTACTTTTTCAAATAAGTTATTTTCCCATGTACTGACTGACACCTCTCCTGTCCCCATGTTGAGAGAAATTGTGAGTAAGTGCAGAGGCGTTGTGTGCGCTGTGTAAACATGATGCTTATTGTAGTTCTAGACTAAATGTGAACATGCATATACTTATCTCACTTGCACAAAAACAGATTTAGTATTCCTCAAAATGAATAAACAAAATGAAACACAAACTCAGAATATTACGCAAACCTGAAATGATTAAATATGTTAAATAACACAAATATACTTTATGTATTTAATCTCACTTTATTAACCAGGTGCTGACCCTTTGATGATCCAATTCAAGCAATTAAGAGTGTTGAACTCATAGACAGTATAAGAAGTGGACAGAGCCATCTCATTGGAACTCAATTGAGACAGTTGAAGCCCATTTTTAGCGATTTTTGAGCACTTCCGTTCCTGACGCGCAGACTCAAACCGACTCAAACTAAGCTTGATGACGTGAGCAACCTGTCTGACAGACGTAAATCTTCTAGTAGCTGTGCGTGAAAATTGCCAACGTTAATCTTGCAGAGACGGGGAACTTGAGCAAAGAGTTCTTTGGCGTGAGTGAGCAGGAGTAAGTATTCCGTTGCTTTTATGGACTCATTATCTATGGGCTTCTCCCTTGACGGGACGTCCCCCCGATTGCCTGCGAGCTTCTCCTCCTGTCTGTACGGTAATTTCTGTACAGCGCGACAGAGAGTCGAGTGGTTATGACGCAATCGTTAGCCTATTTTTACAAAATCTGTTTCTACGGGGCCATAATGTAACATAGAAGGTAATGGAGCCCTTTATACATTGTCGTGTTTCTTTAGAAATGAACAATGGACAAATGGAGTCTTTAAACGCCTCAGATGTAAAGTTATTCGCTGTCAAAGTGACGCCAAAATGAATGGGAGTCAATGGAAATGCTAACGCAAGTGAAGTTCTGCTACAAGATGGCGGCACCCGGCCGGCTTCAACTTCCGGTCGATGGATTACCCCCTTGGTTGAACTTCTCCTGCGTCCTATTCTTCTGCAATCCAGAATGGCAGCACAGCTGAAAGGTTTGTCTGAGCTGCGCCCTCTACTGTTCAGGCGTGAATTTGTATTTCCTTCAGCCTGAGCCCTATTCATTTCACTTTTGATGTGAAAGGGCCTTTACGTTTGTCAAAAATAGAACTTTTATTATTTGAAAAAAGCAAAAACAAAAAACAAGCAAGCCCAGCCCAGGTAAGAAAAAGCAACGCTTAAGTAAAGTAACACAATACTTTCCATAAAAAGTAACAATTAGTTACTTTTTTAGGGAGTATCGCAATATTGTAATGCGTTACTTTTAAAAGTAGGGTTAGGGCTATGCACATTTTTTGTACAAACCTATGTACGTTCATGCACAAAGACAGACTGGAATTTCTGATGACTAATTTCAGGAAGTTCAGAATCGGTTCTTTCGTTTGGAAGATTATTGTGCATTTTAAAACTTTGCAGACCTCACATTAACAAACAGCTATATTACAAACTACACAAAAAGAAATATCTGAAAAAGCATAACAGGGGCACTTTAAAAAAAAACTTATAGTCTCTATTATAAAAGGACATTTTTAAATACCTGTTGTTTTTCTCCATGTACTGTAACAGTCACAGGCCAGAACTTCCTATGAAAACAGTTGTTAGTGGCAGTAAGATGGATCACTACAGGATAATCAAATCCAAGTATGTCTCATTGTAGTTGTGTGTGGGACTCACTGTTGCACCCCGAGGAAGGCGAGCAGCGCCAGGTCTGGTTGTTTGTTGAGTCGGAGCACACACTCCCAGTACACATCATCCTCCTTCTCTTTCTCTAAAGCGTAGAGAGTGAAGAGAGGAGGATAGAGACGTGGCAACAGCACCGGTAGGAGGAGAGCAGAGCTGCTGACCACACACCTGCCACACACACACAACACATCATATGACTACTAAAAAAATAATGTGTTAAAGACAACAGCTCATAAAAGCACAGAAAAATCATCTGAATTGATAAAAGTATGAGATAAAAAGTCGAAATTATAACGTTTTATCTCAACTGTGTCAATTTAAACTTTTATCATAATTATGACTTAGTATGTCATAATTTCAACTTTTGATGTCGTACTTATGATCATCAAAGCATGATTTTTTTTCTTATGCGGTGGAAATGAGCTTACAGAGTTTGCGCCTATCAAGTTCCAAATAAAAAGAGAAATTAATCAAATCAGATTAAATACTTTTCATTTCTAAATTCACTAGTTTATCAAATATAAGTATTACCTCATGGTGATTTAATATGTAAGCATTTTTTGTTTCACTTCCAGTAAAAAAGCTAACAGTGACATTAATAATTACAGTTGTATAAAATAAAATTACTTACACTGTAATATCAGAGTTTGGTCCGCTATTATTTTTCTGATAATATTATATCTGATGAGATCATGATATCTTACATACCCAGGTTTAGGAGACTCAAGCTGCTTCCCAGCAGGGTCTGAGCCCCCCGTCTCTTTTGGAGGGTCAGCCAATGAACCTCCTTCCTCAGGCAAATCAGGGAAGAGGAATCTAAACACAAACACACACACATAAATATTCATGGAAAAGACATTTAAAACAGACTTTGTTGTCAGTTTGACTCACACACTTACCTGACGAGCTGGAAGATGCAGCTGAGATAGGACTTGATCTCATTGACGGCCTGGGGCAGTAATCTGCGATTGGCCCCAACACCAACGTATGTCATACGGTACACCGAAACCAATGTCTCCACCAGTCGACCCAGAGGATGCAAGGGGGTATCACATGCCTAGGGTCAAACATCAGGGGTCAGTGACATATAGTGCAAAATCCTCACACAACTCCTAGAGGAGCAAAGAGGGACAAAATACACTGGAAAGACATTATAATGTTAAAAAAATGTGGTTATTATCAGTTAATTGATGACAAGTGGCAATGCTTACCTTGACGAGGTACCGGCGGATTGTATGATACACCTCTAAAGTCACAGGACCCACATGATGAGGGATAAACTCAAGACTCTCCAGCGTTTTGTGATGAGAGCGACTCAGCAACTCTGGACTAAAAAAAAAACACACATGTTCAGCTTTTATGCTGCCTTCACGTGCTATTTGAAATGTCCTACTTCCCACTTCTGAAGTAGTGATTACAAGATTTTCGCATTCAAGTGATTTGTTGTCGGAAAGATCAGGAATCAAGGAAGACACCAGGTTTATTCTTGCCTATTTATTGGGAAAATCTTATTAAAGCCAAAATGATATTTAGCATCCTATTCATTGACAACCATATAAACATTCACCACGCTATCTAGATAGTCTGCTTGCTGACAATTCTAGAATTTCGCTGTGTATAAAACATGCAATACGCTTTAAATTATTATTCATATATGCAAATATGCACTACTTTAACGACAGGACAAGGTGATGTAGCTGTTGTGGAAAAAAATAAATAAAGAATACCAGTCACAGCAGCAATCATCCATTTAATTTGCAACAATCAAGTCCCACTCTTAATTTTTTATTACTACTTAAAATATGATTAGGGTTTGGTTTAGGGTTAGTTGCATGTAATTATCCATAATTTATTGGTATTATTACAGTAAGAACATGTGACAAGAACACTGTTAAATAAAGTGTTACCTTCATATGAGTATAAGTCATACCGCCCGCCCCAAATCCATATATTTATTTTGGTTACACTTTATTTTAAGGTGTCATTGTTAAAGTGTAATTATATATTTAAGTACTGAGCAGTGTTGTGTGTAACGCGTTACAGTAACATAACTACTTTTTCGGGTAAAAAGTAGTGTAACGCGCTACTACTGAAAATTTGGTAATGAAACGTAGTTCCTTTTTCAATTCGGCGCAACGTTACTTTCCCCAGGGACAGATTATCTGTCCCTGGGATTTGACAGCGATCTCCGTCATTTGATAGATTTGACCGCGATCGCCATCTCCGTAGTGAACGCCCCAGAGAGAAATGCACATAATGGATTACATAATCAGAGAGTAGCCTATTTCTTTTAGTTTTGAATTGTTTCGTTTAAAGACATTTCAAGCTTAAATTCTATACGTTGAGTTTCGGTTAATTTATGATGAGATGCTCCAGTTCACGTGCAATGCAAGTGACCACGCCGGCGCTTCCATGATTATACTGTCTCCTATATTTGCTTCTTATTTATTAAATACAGGCATTTGGTTGATAAAAAATGGATTAAAATTAAGATTCAATTTATACAAAACGAAATTCGCTTTAAAGAAAGGCTTTCTTCAAAACAAAACTTAATGAATTGGTCAAAATCATGTCTGATTGACTCAATGTCTCCCGATATATTGCGCATCCATCTTACTCGCGCTGTTCACTTTTCATAATCACCATAGTTGGAAAAAAAATAACATTATAATATTTTAACAAATTTGAAACTAAATGTGCTTATTTAATGGCTACAACACGTAGGCTATAGTAGGCCTACAGACTCTCTATTTGTATATTGCTGCACATTAATTTCATTCTGAATTTTGCACACATAAGTTGAAAGGCATTTGTTTACGTGCATTTTAAAACATATCTGCAACATTTATCAAGTTCACGGATAATTGTGCGTGCATTTATTAATCATTATGATACTAAAATCATAATAAGGTAGGCTATACTATGTACAAAAAATCAGATGAGCCCAGAATATGAATGCAACGTGTTTACCTACACGTTAAGCATTTTCCTCCCATAGAAAACCATTATAAGAACGCTTAATTTGGCTTAATGCAGATTAGAATGTCCCCTTATTATGTCTAAATAACAAGATAAGTTTTCTTTTTTTTTCTTCACCATGCGGTTCAGGACTTCCATAGAATACAGTCTGAATATAATTACTTCCAGAAATGATTTTTGGGGGTGCTAACAGGTGCTTTGGTCTTTCTTGGGGGCTTTCTTTCTAGCCCCTAGCGCCGCCCATGCATATACCTATCCATTAACCGGCATTTCTTCATAAATATTAAAATTTTTGATAAATGCATTATGCATTTATGGCATTATATATGGCATTATGCATAGTAGAACTTTATGTAGGCCTACACCTTTAGGAACAGATATTGGGTTCTGCCCAAAGTCAAGCAACATAAAAGTAACGTAAAAGTAACAAGTAACGTAAAAAGTTACTTTCTATATGGGGTAACTAAGTAAAGTAATGAGTTACACTACTTTTTAAAAGTTACTTCCCCAACACTGGTACTGAGTAATATTAAGCAACTACATGTATTTCCTATAGGTAGTATTTATGCATAATTTACTGCTAATACTATGGTAAGTACATGTAACATATGTAACATGGACACTAAGCAGAAAAATGGTAACACTTTATTTTACAGAGTACTTGGTTGTCAGCTTAGCAACATGGTTATGTCAGGCTCAACTATGAGTGCATGTGTGTTTAAGTGTACCTGTCTCTTTGCTGTCTCAGGTTAGCAGTGAGCGCTACAGCAATGTTGTCCCACGCTGTAGTGGTTTGCCCTTGTCCAGGAGGATCACAACCTAGCCTGTTCCAGCACTCCACGAACACGGCCTTCCACTTCTCTTCGGAGTGAACTGCTAACCTGCCCAGTTTACTGCAGACAAACACAATCACACATACAGTACATATAGGCTCTCCATCAAAAATGACAATGTCACTTAACATTTGAATATGCTACACAGTTCAACACATGGTCTTACAGTGCATGAGCCTTCTCCTTGCCTGAGTCGTAGAGGCTGGGTTTGTAGTAAGAACCTGACATCTTTAGTCCGGTTCCCCAAACCCCACTAAAAGAGCCTTCGATATAGTCTCCATTCGGCATGGTCAACATGCCCTGGAGAAAGAGAAGATAACAGACTTGTTTGTGTGAACATACACCACCATTTAAAGGTGCAGTAAGCGATTTCTGAAAAACACTGTTGATATTTGAAATCGACACCCAAACAAACACACCACTCCCTTCATTGCTCCGCCTCCAAAATAAGGAAAGGCTTGTTTTCAAGCCTTCTTGCTCTCCAATGCTGGAAAGCTTCTCCAGTATTAATGTGGGTCCTAAAGCGTTTGCCTGATTGTAACCCTTCTTCTTCCAATTATATTCTTCTGACCTTTTCCTCTTTGGTAATATACAAATCTTCCTCTTGCTCAGTCTCTCTCCTCCCCCATCATGAGCGGATACATCTATCACCTATTGATGATTGGCTACAATAATGTTTTGGTGCTCAGTGGATCGGTCTGATCTTTTTCTCCTATTTACACAGCCAGGACTATGTAAAAAAATATATTTTTCAGCACACACAGAAATCTAGCAAATATTCACAAAATGTTTGTTTAGGTTGCATTTTTCAGAAATTGCTAACTGCACCTTTAAAAGTTTAGGAATCGGTAAGATTTGTTTTGAAAGAAGTCTCTTGTGCAGTACAACAGTAATATTGTGAAATATTGTTACAATAAAAAAAAGTTTCTATTTTAGTATATTAAATGCAATTTATTCCTGTTTTGGCAAAGCTGAATTTTCAGCATCATTACTCCAGTCTCCAGTGTCACATGATCCTTCAGAAATCATTCTGATATGCTGATTTGCCTCTCAAGACATTACTTATTATCTTCAATGCTGTGTAACTTTTTTGTGGAAACCGTGATACATTTTCTCAGGATTCTTTGATGAACAGAACATTTTCAAAAAGAGTTTATTAAAAAATATTCATTTCTTTAAAAAAATATATATTAATGACCCCAAACTTTTGAACGGTAGTGTAGATGTGTGTGCATACTAAGTGTTTGTGAGCATTATAAATCACCTTTCCATTTAGAGTCCAGTCTTCTGAAAATTCCCCTTCAAATGTGGTGTCATCTTCAGACAGTAGCACCCCAGTCCCCTTGGAGAGAAACAAATTACAAGATTAAAAAAATTTCAGGTTTTGTCATTTTTGTAGGTTCAAAAACAGTAAAACTTGATGTGTGGGGAAAAAAAAGAAGAATAAAAAAACCATATCCCTAATATTTGATAAATATTGTGTGATAACTGTTAAATAAAAGCAACAATGCTCAAGAGGCCATTATATATTGTGAATATAGTCATAATCAAGCATGGCTTATCATATAGTACCTACTTTGCTTAAATAAAACCAAATGTGTGTATGTGAACCTCACCATCATTTTGTTGTTGCTAAAAGCACCTTCATAGTAGAGGCCGAATTGTGTAACAACAACTCCGTTCCCCTGACGCTGATCATCCAGCCACATGCCCATGTACTTCTCCCCTCTGACACAAACAACAGTTAGTATAGTGCACATATACTTACTCTTGTCTTAATGTGTGTAATATGTTTAAAGACCCCCTGTGGTGATTTTTTCCCGTTTTAAATTTTTCACGTTTTTAAAGTTTTTAATGTTGTTTATATGTCTATGTGGTGTTTTTAATATGCTTTGAACTACCATTGCTGAGTATTTTCTTCTTAAAACTGCAGTGAACCAAAGACTGGAGTTTCTGACATCACAAACTACCTTGTAACCAATCACGTCAACGAGTGGATCTCTGAGCTTGAGGGAGTGAGTGCATGCGGGGCTAATTTGCATATTCATAAAACCGCGTATACTAAATAAGGCAAGGGTGCAAAGTTACATTCAAGCTATTTTAAGGCATGAAGACATTTGTTTTCAAGGAAAAAACGTTTTAATATGTCATTTTGGTAATCAAAGATGAGTTTTAAGGGATACAATTATTGACTACAGGGGGACTTTAATACATTTCAATTCAAGTCACATAAATGCCACAACCATTTATACGACCTCAACCCTTCTTGTCTATTTGCATACCTGGTGATGTCATCAAAAACTCCATAGCCAGATTTTTTGTCGTACTGCCACTGGCCGATGAAGACACTGGGAGAGGTGGAATTCAGCTTCCCACTACGCAACATCCCATGACCATGACGCATGTTATCTTGAAACGAGCCCTCGTACACTTCACCAGATGCATACCTGAACACAAACACACACTCTCTCTGTCAGTTCCATGAAATCATATCACAATTTGATTTACAGTTTATATTTACTTTTATTTTTATTTTTTCTATTTATTTGACTTATCAAATCTCAAAAGACTTGTACTTGCATCACAGAAATTATGTTTTAATATATATATTACAAATAATATTTTTTAATAATATTTCACAATATTACTGTTTGTATTGTATTTTTGATCAAAGAAATGCAGACTTTGTGAGCATAAGAGACTTCTTTCAAAAACATTAAAAAAATCATACAGACCCAAACCTTTTAAAAACGGTAGTGTACATACAGAAATATACATTTACATTACAGAAAAATAATAAAAAAACACAACCACCAACCTGAATGTTCCAAAGCCGTGCATCTTGCCATCCTTCCATTGCCCTTGGTAATGATCACAGCTGTTCAGGTTTTTGTTCGGCACAACATAATCTCCAAATCTGCAAAGGAAACAATAATTGAAATATTTCCAGAAATGGAAAATAAGATAAATCAGCATAATAATCTGAAAAACTAACCCATCTTCAAGGCCATTCTTAAATGCCCCTGTGTACATTCGTCCATCGAGCCATTTGACCATGCCCCTAGAAAACACACATAGCCAATCATCATCATGATCTCACTTTTAAGAAGACTTTCACACCCACAATTCCCTGTCCAATGACCTACCGCCCGTGGGGTTTCCCTGAGACCCAGCGGCCCTCATACGTGGCCTCCTTGAGCCGACTGTCTTTGTAGAACGTGTACGATGCCGTCCGTGAAATGGGCGGGTCTGCTCTCTGGGTCACCCCTGTAGTAGGCGGTATCCCATCATGCCCCAGTCCGCTAAGCGCCTGCTCCACCGCCTGGTTTATAGAACGAAACCACTTCGCCTGGGAAGCAGGTGATTACTGTTTAACCAACTATCCATGTTTGTTTCTGTAAAGCTCATTATCATTTTGAGTCAAGCTGGGTCTACCTTTTCAGCTGGAGACGAGGCCAGCAGAGTGAATGTCTCTTCTGGTGAAGTCACTTTTAAACCATATCTGCACAAAACAACACAAATAAACACACTGTATATGTTGTTTTATACACTTTACTACTTAATAATGCTAATATAAATGACTGGCACACTCACAGGCCCGTGTTCTCCTCAGAAATCGGCTCCACCCACAGAGTAGCCAATGGGAAGATGTGATGAGTGGAAAACTGGGAGGAATTAAAAAAGAAATAACTAAAGCAAGTAACAATATCCTGAAAATGAATGCACTAGGAATGTACACAATTCTGCTGCCCATTCCTGATCAGTGATGCACAATATATCAGTACCATATCAGTTATCAGCAGATATTAGGAGATCTATATATATAATTTATTTAATTGTGCATGCATTTCCCCTGGTTTTTTTCTCATTTAGATTACCTTTACATCACTCAAAAGTTATTTAAAAACACTAATAACTTAATAACTTTATTACAATTTAATCTATGACAAATGTCAACAAGAATATCCCTTTGTCATACTCTTACACTCCTGTTCAAAAGTTTACCAGATTTTTTGTTTTCTCACCAAGACTGCATTTTATTTGATCAAAAATAAAGAAAAAAATTTATTCTATTTGAATATATTTTAAAATGTAATTTACTCCTGTAATGGCAAAACTAAATTTTCAGCATCATTACTCCAGTCTTCAGTGTCACATGATCCTTAAAAAATCATTGTAATATGCTGATTTGGTGCTCAAGAAACATTTCTTTTGTGAATAGAACGGGATTTGAAATAGATTTCTTTTGAACAATGTAAATGTCTTTACAGATCAATTTAATGGATCATTGCTGAATGAAAAAATATTAATTTCTTTTAAAAAAAACATACTTAAAGGACTTCATTTAGATTTGTGATTTATTTTTAACTTATTTAGGCAAAAAGTAGCCTGGTTAAAACCAGACCATTCTCAGTTGTAACTGAGTTATGGTCTGGCAAAGCGTCATAGACAAATCATTTCCAGAGGGGCGTCACCAACGGACGTCGCGGATAGAGCTAAAACCAATCAGAGCGATGAAGGAGATGATGTATGCAGAGCGGCGGAGAAACATCTAGTGTTGTTCTTTGCTCGGTTTTAACAAAAAGCAAACGTTCAAATCGCTTAAAACAGACGCGATAGCTGATTCGAACGAGTGATGTTCGACGGCGCATCCATCTTTGTAATGTAGGCTACAAAATCTGCTTCAAAATCCCAGCGCTGTCGTCATCGTGTAAAGCCCGCCCCAACGTTTCTGATTGCTGCCTCGATTTCGACGGATTGGAAATGGGCTCGAATGAGCTCTTTACCAGACTAACTTTCAGAGCAAATCTAAATTTGCCGGAAGTTGTCTGGGTTTTCCCAGGCTAGCAAAAAAAGTATAGAATCTGAATATCTGAAGATTTTGGATGTCATATGGTTTGTTTACAAGTGTCAAGCTAAATTGTATCTGGTAAACCAACTATGAATCGATTTACAGTTGTTGACATAACTGTAGTTCTTTAAAATAGAAAAATAACCATATGTTCAATATTTTACAAGAGGACATTTTTGTTCTTTTGGGATGGAAAGGGATAATAGGGATGAAAGGACAAATAGACACATATAGACACTGTAAGAGGTGTCAAGGGGAAAAAAACAGGGATAAAAATAATGGATTATCATCTCAAATACTGATACATTCACTAAGACAAGAATCAGCATTAAACAGAACCACTACTGTATAACATAAAACCATCCAGCACAACATGCCCCTTAATTACAACCAGATACAGGTACATTTATGCATAAGTGTCATAACATATCTTTAACAAAGGGTTTGCAAGCAGGAAGCCTTGGAATGTACCCAACCAGATGTACTGTCATCTTACTTTTATACCACACAGAAACAAGATATTTTGGACAAGGTAGAGTGTAAGTACTACAGGAATTTCTGTCAAAACTACAGGTTCAAACTGAACTCAAACTATTACAAATATACATCATTTATAATAATTGATTATCTTTAAAGGAATATTTAGAGTTAAATACAACTTAAGTTTTCCTGACAGCATCTGTGGCCACAGAAAATCATTTTGATTCGTCCATCAGTTTGTTGAGAAATACGCTTTTTTAAATGTATTTTATGTACCCTTTAGGGTTTGGTATTGGTGTACATTATTTGGGGGTTTTTGATATATGTTGTAATTAACTTGATGCAGTCATATACATTTATATATTTGTTATTGTAATTTAGCTCTTTCTTTAATGTCATAATTCATTTCTCTCTTTGTTATTTAGGTGGAGGCTTTAAATAAGCCCTTTAGGGGTTTCGGCCTCTCTCTTCACAGTATATGGATTCTATTTAGGGCCCAAGCCCTGAAAGGGCGAAGGCCCTATTGTTTTCCTAAGGATTATTATTATTAGGGCCCAAGCCTTGAAAAGGCGAAGGCCCTATTGTTTTCCTAAGGATTATTATTTATTAGGGCCCAAGCCTTGAAAAGGCGAAGGCCCTATTGTTTTCCTTAGGATTATTATTAGGGCCCAAGCCCAAAGGGCGAAGGCCCTATTGTTTTCCTTAGGATTATTTATTATTCTTCTTATTATTTTTCTGCTACCTTTTGGACACTTTTGGAGGCCTTAACATGCTCAAAAACTCCTGAAACTTTGCACACATGTCAGAACCCGCGGCCATCAGGGCCGGGCTGAAGATGGTACCCGGGCGTGGCAGGGGGGCTCGACAGCGCCCCCTGGAACGGGGTCCGAAAACATGGTCCATAAATCAAACACGCTTGCATGTAATAATATGAAACTCGGTACACATGTAGATCTCCTCGTTTCATATATACTTCACACTCTTACTTTTTACCCCAGCCCAACAGGAAGTCGGCTATTTAGGGTTGTTGGTAAAACACACGCAATGGAATGTGAAATACTCCTCCTAGAGAATTCAAACAAACGGCACGAAACTCGGTCAGCATGAAGTCAAGACATTGAGGATGAAAGTTTGCGAGGGGATTTTTGATATCTCGAACGGTTTGGCCGTGGCGAGGAAACAAAATTATGGCGAGAAACGTGAAACAGGAAGTGTGTCATAACTACTGCATACATTAACTGATCTTGATGAAACTTCAACAGTGTGTTCGTTGTAAGAGGCCGATCACATGGATGTGACTATTGTGAGTCAAAATTATAGCGCCACCAACTGGCAGCAGGAAGTGTGTCACTTCCTAAATGCTTTGAAATCACCCTCTTATTTTTACCCGATTTGCTTCAAACTTTATGTGTATAATGTAAACACACGCCAGATGTAGACCTGTGAAAGGATTATTGATATCTTAGATACTGTTGCCGTGGCAACACATCAAACTTTAATATTCTTGTTTGATGCTTTTGAGACTCTTAGCATGCTTGAAATTGCATGAAACTCGACAGACACAGGTATGCATATGGTTCAGATCAAGCCGGACAACTTTCTAATTAACTGTCATTAGCTCAGACCAAGAGGAAGTCAGATATTTTGGTTTGAATGTGGATGTTTCTGAGAATTTTCTCTCCCTCTCCCTCTGACAGAGAGAATGCACCCTGCCATTCGTGTGTGTCTGTGTGGGGAGGGGGGGAGGGGCTCTTTTAGTTTAAACACAAAATTATACATAGGGCCATACTGCCCTCTTGTGTCCAAAATTATATTTATATATACATTATACATATATTTGGTATGTGACTGAGGACCGAGAGCTTTTAAATACGGGACATTGATAATGGCCACGTGCAGAGCGCTCGAGGGAATTCCTATGGAAGTAGGAATGAACTAAAAAACGTTCGCTCTGTTCTGCTCGCTCATCGCCGTGGACGCGCACCGTTATGAATGCCAGTGCAGCCGCATACTTTTTAGTGTCACTTTAAAATTAGTGCAATAACGGGGCCGATTGCTTGAATTGTGAGTTCAATAGTCTATTATTTTTCACGGAAAACACAACAACAAAAGAGTACAAGGATAGATTCGCTGAAATAGGGGCTTTTACATAAAATAGCCTATTCCGTCATCATCTTTTCAGTCAGCTCTTCACTCTCGTGATTAATGAAATTTGACTCCTGTTGCTGATATTTGCTGCAACTTTCGTTCCGCTCACAATTTAGTAAGCAAACACGCTTCAAATGTGTTTTTATTTTATTTTTGTGTATATATATGTGTGTGTATATATATGTGTGTATATATATATATATATATATATATATATATATAGCTTATGTTTCAAATATGAGTTAATTAACAATCGTTGGAAAGAATGATACTTTTAATATCACTAAACCGTCATTAGGTGTCGCCAGGCGACCGTCTTAATGAGCGAGTCATTGATTCATTCGTTCAAACGATTCGTTCGAACGGCTGAGTCATTCATGAATGAGACAGATTATGGATTGGTCGTTGAATCTTTGAGTCAACCGATTCGTTCAAAATGCTGAATCATTCAGTAATGAGAACGCGTTGCTGTGAGATGCTCGATGGTTCTGCTGTGATCTTTGTTTAACTATTTTCGCTGCTGAAACAGAAAAAAAAGTCAATATTGCATCTAAAATGTAAGTGATTTGACCTGTGTGTGTGTGTGTGTGTGTGTGTGTGTGTGTGTGTGTGTGTGTGTGTGTGTGTGTGATTGTGTCTGTTACAGTGATTGTTTAACCCTTGTTAAAGTTTAGGCCTTGTCTTTTTGGATATATATCTTTTTATATAAAAAAAAATAGCATACAACCCATATATTTTAAATGTATTGTTTGCTTTAAATTACATTGAGATTTGTATGTTTGGTAATTGAACCTGAATGAATTATAAATGAATGTGCTATATTTCAGATCATATATTTGTTTTCCTTAAAATTTGAACTAACACTAACTTTATTCTCATCTGAATGATAGATTATTTATTTCTGTATAAAATAAAAACACATTTGATTTTTCTTTTTTAATCAATGTAGAATGTGTAACTGAAAAAATAAACAGATTAGGGCTCTGATCGAGGACAATAATGTCAAAAAAAGAATCAGGGCATGTCTCATATCTTTCTAAAATGTAATTATACACCATTTATTTTTATATAAAATTATACAAATATTAGAACTAAACCCATTTTATTCCTTTTTTTCAATTTAAGAATTATTTTTAAGTTTAAAAACAGCCAGAATGGTTGTTTAGTCAAAAATAATAATAATCC